TTTTTTCCCAAGAGAAATCAATGATCCTCTCTCTAGGTTCTGGTTTCCCCAACTACTCCTCCCCCTACTCCTTTGCACAGATGCTGAGGTCTGAGGTTTTTGTAAGCCTCTCCCTCTTGCTCTGCTCACTGTGGGCTACTGTAAACACAAAAATACATCGCAGTATCCTCCAGCTGTGAGTCTGAGATCCTGAGGCTGAAGGACTTGGCTGCTTTCCGGAAGTTCACAGAAAAGCGATTCTTTGTTGCACTCTGTTGCTTAAAACCATCCTGGCGAATAATGAAAATCATCCCTCCTCTGGGAAACTGTTTGTACCAGAACAAATAATAATTACTATCTTTAGTGTCATATGTGCAGTCCAGGGTCACTGACTCTGTCTCCCGGATGGACATTTGCCGTTGCGACTGAGTTACTGTCTGGGCTGTGCTGTATCCTGTGGGAAAAAGGAGAGAGAGAAGGTACCATGCTGAGATGTTGAGGAGTCTGCAGAGACAAAGCAGACAGACTCTAAAGCTGATTTCCATCTCACCCACCTTTCTTCTTCCTTATCCAAACCCCAGCTGGATAGATCAACTTTCTGCCTCCAATAGCTGGGCCCAACGAAGGGATTAGATCCCCGTGCTATTCCTCTTTCCTCCTACTTCCTGGTCCTATTGGACAATAGTAAAAGCACATATATGCACCTTCCTTACCAAGATAGGTAGAGACCATGAGTGCCCACAGCAGGCCGGGGCATGTCATGCTGGCTGCTCACCTCTGCAGGGTGAAAATCTCTTGTTCTGACCTAGAAATTGGATCTCAGCTGTGCTTAGTGACATGACAACTGCAGAACAGGAAATGGCACGTCAGGTGGGCCTTTGGTGATGTCTCACTTAGCAATGTTTATCAGTACCTTTTACTTTCACTTCAGAGAATAAATCTTCGGCTCTAATGTCAAATGAAAAAGAAAAAAAAGTTGTCAGTACTGTAATTTTTTCTGGGATTAAAATGAAGGGTGAAGAAGCTGGTCAATTGTTTTTGCAATTAAGAGTTTGGCTGCTGACAAAAGTTTGGCAGTTCAAATCCACCAGCCACTCCTTAGAAATCCTATGGGGCAGTTCTACTCTGTGCTAGAGGGTTGCTATGAGTTGGAATCAACTTGATGGCAATGGTTTTAATCTTGGAAAGGAGAATGGTGGGAAAAGGACAGACGGGGCTAACGCAATGACTTTAATTTTCTCTATAAGGTTTCTTTTTCTTTTCTTTCTTTTTTACTTTTTTTTTTTTAAGACTTAAAGTCAATACCATAAAACAGTCTCTAGACTGTGATAACACAAGTATTGGTTATATTAGTCTTTGACTGGTATGGTATTTTAATCATTTTTCAAAACACAAAAATAAATGATGATGATGATAATAGTGACAACAGTCTAGAGAGAGTCAGAACCAGGATCCTGATTTCTAATGACACTGACACTAATATTTTGCTCTTTTTTCCCCCAATAATACGCGGCTTTGGCTGTGTCAGGGAGCTCCATGATACTTGTGGCAAATGTTCCTGTAAGGACTTTTGTGCACATCTATTAATGAGTCTGTAACTGAAGAATCCGAACAATTAACGTAGAATTTATTTGGGAACATTCTGTGTTGCGCATCTGATAGCTTTCCACTGGCATCTCGTTTTCCCTACATGCATTCTCCTGTGAGAGAGGAAAGGTCAGGAATTACTGTCCTCATTTTAAAGAAGAGGCAACTCAGTAAAAATGAAAACTCACAGTGTAAGGAAACATGAGTCTCATTCGCATTAATTTTCTCTCCTGCAGGATTTATGTCATCCAATCTTAGATAAGACCATGTCTATGTCCTTCATGATGTGGGCTTTTTTCCCCTTTAAACTAGAAGGAGAATAAAAGACTGAATTAAATGCTGACTCCCCTTGTAGCGAGTAGTGGCAGGCTTCCTACTGAGGGTGACATTTACTCTCCCTTCTTGTCTATTATTTCCATTTGAAAAACAGGGCAAACAGTGGGTCTTTACCACAGACTTCCTTAACTCCAGAGGACTTCTTAAAGTACATCCTAGTGAATTGCTGTACATGGCACAGTTCTCTTGTTTACTCGGTAATTACATTTCTGCCATACATATTATTTTCTGGTCAAAGTCATGGGAAATAGGTAAGTATGTTATTACTTTACAGTTTTTCCCTTTCTTCTCTTCAGCTCGTAGGAAACTCTAGATGGTTGTAATGTTTCTGTCTCAATCTCAGGCCAGCTGAAGCTACAAGTTTACTGATGGGGCTCTCAGGAGCAAATAATTTCTGTCTCTTGCTTGGGTTCATTGCACCTGTAATGCTGATTGGGGATCTCAAGTCAGAGGGTCCATCCTGCTCTTTGAGATCTTTCCCGGATCCTCTGGGCCCAGTCGATTACAACTTTGGCATCTTATATTCACCAGCCACTCAATTCCTAACTTCCACAAATAGCTAATCAAGTTGTTGGTGAGAAAGAGGTGATAAAGGGCAGAAAGCTGTCTTTTCTTGGAAGCAGAACCTCTTCTAGGCAGACTGAGAAATTCCAATGTGCTTCCTTTGGATATAAAACCTATTTGGCAACGGCTGTCACAGAATTTCACCCAGGAGGAATCTGCTAGTTATACAACATAGCAAAAACTAGGAAAAAAATATCTGCCCACTCACAAGTTTTCATGGGAAAATTTTACAGATGCAGAAACTAAGGCACATAGACACAAAATGGCGCGAGTAGGAGAAGCTGCTCCAGATGTGGAGACATTCACTTTTAGTTGGGTGGATCTTGACTAAAGGACACTGAGGGTCCCTGGTCATTGCCTCAGACATCTCATGTTTAGCGTTGTTCTCAGGACTCTAAATTCCTTATCTGAAAATACAGTGAAGAAAAAACTTTTAAAAAGTCTTTCTAAAAAGCCTTCCTCAGATTCATTATATTCATTACAATTTCCTTTGTTGCAAGGAGGTGATGGGGATTGTTTACTAACCCCTGAGTGAGGGTCCAAATGAAGGGAATGTGACTGCTGGCCCCAGTGCATTTTGAGTACTCTCTGGGGAACATAGATTCCCTGCAGGACAGAGGTAGGCCTCTGAGTCTCTTGACTGGGCAGACTTGATGTTCAGGGAGTGGTCGACTAGAACTGAAGGAAGCTGCTAATCTTCCCTTGTGCTCAGAGCCCTATTTAACAACAACAGAAACAAAGGCACCAGATTTATTCCAGATTTGAAACACTGTTCAAATAATCGTAGTGGTTAATAAAACTCTTCCCTTCCTGTATAGTCAGTTAGGAAGGACTTTTCCTTTATTTGATGGCTAATACTTCTTAAAATGATGTTAAAAGGTGGATTAAAAAGTTCATTTCTTCTTTAAGCCCCTTGTGTATAAGTTAGAGAATAGTCCCCAGAGCCTTCTGGATCCTCTGGGTTCCTCATTAAGTAAATTCTCCCAGTTCACATTTCTGCTGAAGCCCCCAGGTCATGCACATGACTTCTAGAGGCTCCTCCATGCTTTGGACTTTCTAGACCCATTGAGGACTTGATTCTGGAATGTGGAAATCTGACCTAGACTCTTCACATAAAGGAGTATTTGTTCCAGTTCTTTGTATGTACTAGGAACATAGCAGATTCTTCAACATGAGGCAGGCTTTTGTAAATAACTACTGTCAGTGGGAGAAGGCAGTGCCCTCTTGAGGTTATTAGAGAATTACTGAGGCAATTCCTTACTCTACACAAAAGAACTTGGTTTAGTGAAGAAATCTATTCTGGAAGGAATATGTTTATATGAGTTTCAAAAGTCTGTTTACACTAAATCAAGTGACTTTTCTATTTATGGTATACTTTGTCCTTCCCTTTATTATGCTTTTTTAAATCCTACCTTTTATTCATGTCTGTTCTTTTCAAAGAAACCTTCCGCGACTTATGTTAGAACATACTGAATTTTTTCCCTTAATATTTGTTAAAATGGCATGGGGGAGGTGTCTGACCTCAACCAACCCCACAAGGGGGAAGGAGAACCAAGATCAACAGCCCAAGGCTGATTCCTATGAGGTGGTGTTCAGACATGCCTCCTCTCTCCGCCATCTCTACCAATATCTGATACCAATTGTCCCTCCCGCAGCTCTCTCCTGAGTTTGATAATTCATTGCAATGGCCACACAGAACTCAGAGACCATACTCACAATTATGGACTTTGTTAGGGAAGTAACAGTTACAATTAAGGCTCAAGAACACTCAGGATAGCAAGGGAGAAAGAAGCAAACCAAAGACACAGGGTCAAGATTAGTCCAAAGGACTAATGGACCACAACTACCACAACCTCCACTAGACTGAGTCCAGCACAACTAGATGGTGCCTGGCTACCACCACTGACTGCTCTGACAGAGATCACAGTACAGGGTCCTAGACAGAGATGGACAAAATTGTAGAACAAAATTCTAACTCACAAAAAAAGAAAAAAAAAAAAAAAAAGACCAGACTTTGGTCTGACAGAGACTGGAGAAACCCTGAGAGCATGGCCCCCGGACACACTTATAGCTCAGTAATGAAGTCACTCCTGAGGTTCACCCTTCAGCCAAAGATTAGACAGGCCCATAAAACAAAATGAGACTAAATGGGCACACCATCCCAGGGGCAAGAACGAAAAGGCAAGAGCGGACAGGAAAGCTGCTAATGTGGAACCCAAGGTCGAGAAGGGGAGAACATTGATATGTCACGGCATTGGCAATCAATGTCACAAAACAATATGTGTATTAATTGTTTAATGAGAAACTAATTTGCTCTGTAAACTTTCATCTAAAGTACAATAAAAAAAAATTGAAAAGAAAAAAAAAAATCCCTGTAGAGTAGAATCTTATCTAGCCTAGTATATAGGTTCTAAAATCAATATGTAATAAGAAAACAACAACAACAACAAAAAATAACAGGATAGTTCTTCCATCAGGCTAACCTCTCCCTAGCTGTGTTCGCAGGCATGCCTCTCCCTGACACTCACTCTCTGCCCAAAGGCACTCAGCTTTCTCTCTCCGTGGGCCAGGAAGCCCGATGTGCCATCTCTTGCCATCAGGTCTCTGCTGCTGGGTGTCTCCTGCTGGTCTCTCCTTCCTTGGTGGTGGTGTGCTCCTCCTCTCTGCTCTAGAATTGACTCTCTTTTAAGGCAAAAATGACCCATTCCCTTGGATTAGCCTATCACATACTCCCCCCCAGTGGCCTGGGTGGGAGTTACAACACGATGGCTAGAAAGGCCACACAAAAGTAATCAATCAGTAATCAGTAACACCACTATGTTCTTTCAGGAATATAGAATAAATTTTAAGCAGCATCTTAGGGCTTTATGAAGCAGTTACTATGTGCCTAACACTGTGCCAAGAGCGGTAAAAATGCTGACGTTTACAAGGCAAATTTTCATCCTCGTAGAGACTGTAAAGACTTTAAGAAGGATGGGTCGGTACCTTGAAACCATAACAGATTCCTCAAGAAAGCATGTTACTAAAGGTCAAATTATTTGGTTCTGATTTAGTACTGTATGACATTAGAAGAGAAAGAATTCAAGGGTTCAGTGTGACTATGAGACTGACTGATGTCTGCTGTCTAAGTCATCTTGTTGACCTGGTTGTCTAGGGCCTTTTATATGGTGCATGCTCTCTGGAAGATGTTAACATGAGACAGAAAGAGCCACATGCTTTATGCCCATTCTTGTGGTCAACTCCCATGTCTCTTTCCCAGATTTCATTGCCTGTGATTGCTCCTTCAAGCGCTGGCCCAGGCAGTGAGGCCAGTTGCCAATTAACAGTAGTCTGTGTATGTCATTA